CCACTCAGGCCTCCGCCTGCCCCAGCCCTCACCGCGCGCACCGCACGCCGCTGTCCCGCTCCGTCCGCCTCCGCCCCGCTCCCCGCTCGGCCGCCGCCCACTCCCCGATGGCGCCGAAGAAGATGCCTAAGGGCAAGTCGGGTTTCTTCGGCGTGAGGGTGAAGCCCTCAAGGATCTTCGGAGTGGAATTCTCCGACGCTGGGCAGTGTTGGTGGCTTGGCACGTATCCCAGCGCTTATGAGGCCCCGCGTGCCTATGATGTGGCGGTGTGGCGTGTTGAACGACCGAAGACGAACCTCAACTTCCCGGAGGTCGAGACCCGGGCGATGGCGGAGTGGCTCGTGTTGCATGACCTCCGGATGGAGAAGATGCCGGCGAAGAAGAGACCGGCGATTGTCGTTGCTCTCGGCGAGAGCGACGAGGCAGCGATGACTCGGTTTGCATGAGAGCATCCGCAGTACGTCCAAGCTGAACTGGAGCAGTACTGGAAGCACAACGTCGAGGCGAAAACGAAGGGGTGAATAAGAAGGACGAGGCCGGCCCCTCGACTGTGATCCTTATCGAGTCGTCGGATGAGGACTGGGGTGACTCCGATGAGGAGGACGAGGGGTGCGATGACCTGGACAAGGACGAGTTCTGGGAGCAGTCCACAGCTCCGATGATGAGGAGTAGTTTCATCTAGTAGTTCGAATAAGTAGTAGTTGAATTTATGTATGAAACTATGTTGAATTTGATGTTTGAACTATGTTGAGATGAAGTAGTAGTTGGTCATTTTCAGAATTTTACATTTTCGTTTTGGATCATCCGTTGGAGTTGCTCTTTTATTTACATCTCTGTTTTCGACCATTTGTTGGAGTTGAGCCTTTTTTAGAGTTGTAAAAAGCATTTTTTAATGCTTCAAATTTAGACCATCATCGGTTTGGAGCACCAAAATATACATCATCTATTGAAGATGAAGTGCAAACCCGTCTGTTTAGCTAGAGGAGCTAGTCGTTGCATGCAGCAAACTGATCGGCCAAAGAACGGGCATGCCATGCACACGGCGATAGAGTATCGTTTTATTACCATCAACATGCATAAAAATAGAAGTTTGCGCTAAGTGAACTCCGCTGAACAGCCATGACCAAATAGGAAACTCGGCAGCATGGCACACGAGGACGGGCGGCTTGGCCTTCTTCCGTGTCACCATCGAGGTGCGACGAAGCTACACCTCTAGCAGACGGGACAACGGCGAGCCAGAGAGAGGCCTACATGCAGCAGCAGTGAGTTGTCCATCCCAACATGAGCGGAGCTGACAGGAAATTAAAGGGCACCGCGCGGCGGCATCTACAAAGCCGACAGGACGGCGGCAGCATGCGACTGACGCAATTTCTTTTTATAGAGGGAGGCGGGTAGTTGAGAATAGCAGGGAAGAAGATAATGACGTGTGAGGCCCGAAAGTGATCTTCTGTGCTCGAGCGGTCTCGGTATCCCAGCCACCGGCAATCCTCATGATCCACAACCCACTCTATATTGGCCCAGGTATTATTCCCGTATTCCCTGCGGTGAACAGTTGTAAAGGCCCACGTCTGTCATTGCCGGCTTGTTACGGCGTTAGGTACCTGGGCTATGGATCAGATGCCCACTAACAGACTGGGCCAGAAGGGCGCAGATTCTGGACTAGCGGCGGGTGTGACCATATTACCGCTCGTCTTGATTCAAGCCTGATAATCTCGCTGCCTTCCTCCGTTGTCCCCTCCTTCAATCTATTCTCTTCCCGTAGACTGGTGCGATGTCTGCCTCTGCGTCGACTGGATACGACGATGAGATGCTGCCGCTCATTCCATGCCCTGACTGCGACGGCCAGCTGATCAGCTGGATTGCGCGGGGCGGTGAGAACGCCGGCGACCGCCACTACAAATGCGCCAAGAAAGATGTGAGAGCTTCTTATAGCAGATTAATTTATGGTCATTTTTTTCTCGTCGCCTTGTACTCATGGGCCAGAGATCTGGACTTTTTTTTGGGCAGGTTGGTCTCTGCGAATACATCAGATCCAACAGGACCTACCGTCCTGATCTGAATCGCCATTTCGGAGTGCAGCACAACGCTTCTGCCTCCCCTAGTCGTCATGGAATGCAGCTCCGAAACAGGATTCGTTCCCAGCAGGCAGTTGGAGCGGGCACAGCTGGGCTTGCCGAGGCTCAGAGCGAGGCGTTCCAGATGGATAACAATCGTCCGGCGCCGGCGCGGTTCGCCAATCACCCCCGTTGCTGCATGGAGATGGCACGGCTTGCTGTTGATTTGGTGGCGGCGAACCTGATCGCAACTCTGTTCGGGATTGGGATGCTGGTCCTCTTCCTCGGCCGCCTAGCTCGCTAGAAGCTGCGATCCTTTGTTCACCTTGTCTGTTGGCTTGTTTTATCGCTAGCATGATGGTTTGACCAGTCAATAGAACATGGCCGTGTATGTGTATTAGTTAAGTCGTGTACTGCCGTCTTAGTAGTATTGATAAAACATAATGGTCTGTGACTCGTTTGCTGTAATGGGAAGTTGTAATGGATCTCATTTTGTGCCTGTTAATGTTAATGAAGGCTTCTATGGTTACTTAAAGTTTTGATGTCTCGCATGACAGTATAGAAAATGGCTTGCCCTGTTCACTCACCGACTGATGGAATCACCAGCAGTCAACCAGTCTGCGGCAGCAATTTTTTTTTTGTTTTTTTCCAGTCGTTTGCATGCACAATCGGCATCGCCTGTACACGCGTCATCACTAGGTTTTTATTATCTTTTATTCCGGTCGAGCTCCCAAACCCCGAGCAGTACCAACACGCTGCTGCCTCTCCCACCCTCCTCTTCTTCGTCTTATCCACTCAGACCACTGCGTCTCTCTCGTCTCACTCCCACAGACCTCGGCCGGTCGCCGTTCGTCAACAGGAGGCTCGGCGCCGCGGGTGCGTCGCGGCAAGGAGTGCAGATCTGCATCTGCTCATCCCCACAAGGTAAGTTCTTCATGCCCCCTAGCTGATCCCGACATTATTGCATCTGTTCTACTACTCAGTCCCCTGCCAGTCCCCTTAGTCCGACGGTCAAATTTAGCTGATTCGCGCACCCATGGATGAGGACACCACTGAGCATCACACGGACCACCGAGATCTGCCTAGGTTTACAGGGGAATCATAGGGGGAAATGCAATGGAGCTTACAAGTTCCACATTTTCATAGTAAATTTGCTGTATTTCTCAGATGCCAATTAGTAGCGCCCACCTTTCAGAGTCTTGATATAGTTTGTCACACTGAAAGCTCACGCATCAGGTTTGCATTTTTATGCAGGCCAGATGTCTGATGTTGGTAGCAGCCTTGGTGGCGCAGCCGGTGGTGGAGAAGATGGCAGGGCAATCTCTGATGGGTCTGAAGTTCAGATACAGGACCAGCAACCAGTCCCCCCACCTATGCCAACATCTCGGATCTCTGTGAAACATGCAGTTGAAGTCATTCAAACGTTTGATGAGTACAAGAGGTGGTTGGTACAAGAAATCGGGTTTGGTGGAATGTTGAAGTTGCCCATGCGGCAGAAGCTTAATCTCAAATTCAGTGCATGGACAATGAGCAAGGTTAGTGTATTTCAGCGCGCAATTATATTGTCTGAGTCAAAGAAGCTGAAGTTCTGGCCGGAGGATGTGCACAAAGTATTTGGGATACCTTGCGGTCACCGCTCTATCCGGGGGCGTGATGGTCACATAACGCCTGATGCAATTCAATTCATCAAGAAGACTCTCGGGATGGACAAAAAAGGTGTTCATAGCCTGCGAGCCGTGGAGGAGTTCCTACTACGAGATGTATCAGAGACATCTAGCAAGCTTGAGAAGGATTGTTTTCAAATTGCTTTCGTCATTTTTGTCATGGGACACGTGCTTGCGCCAACCACAAAGCATGATTATGCCACCATTGATTTTTGGGGTGCCCTTGCAAACACCGAAACAATATCACAGTTCAATTGGTGTGAGTACGTGCTTCAGTGCTTGCTAGAAGCTGTTAGACGTCTCAAGAAGGACATGCTTTCAAACAATCCAGGCACTAACCTTGTTGGTTGTCACCTTTTTCTTCAGGTCAGCATGTGTTTTACATGTAATATATGTTGTCCTTCTTGATGGGGTCTAACTTTTTCTGCTCTGATTTTTTTATCAGGTGTTCTTCCTGCACAGTATTGACTTAGGCATTTTCAATAAGAAGCATAATGTGCTCCCCCGTATAAGTGAATTTGATCAGGACAGCATTAGGAACATGATCACAATGTCCACTGACATTGGGAAGAACCCCACATCACATTCAAACAACAAGGTTTCATTGCTCTCTGGATTAATCACACTGTATCTTTGTATGATGCAACCATTTTTTTCACATTAATCTCACTCTTATCTAATGCAGCTACGTGCGGCAGAAGATGTTTGCTATGCCTGGCAGAAGTATCCTCAGGACCAACCCAACACCCTTCTTGCAGGCACCAACAGCGGTGGCAACAGCGCATCCACTGCATGTGGCGCACATCAGTTCCCCCGAAATGACAATGCAACAGTGACACCCACGCACAATGTATTAGATGTACATACACCAATCGCACGCTTGGGCCTATTGATTTCACACACTGCCTCCGCACACGCTATCCCAACTTGGTACGGTAACAGCATTTGCTCACATATAGGCACATCCTATTCAATGTTTTTTGTAGACCAAAATCATGCATAACTCATCACAATCTACTCCCATTTTCTGCAGCATCGGATGAGATCACTGTACTGCTCAATGAACAGAATGCCCGGGTACAACATCACATAAATATAGCTCGTGCAAACGCTCAATTGGACATGTTTAAATTTGCAGATAAACTTTTCAATGCACTTTCCAAGAGGTGCATATGTAGTTCCATTAGAGGCTTTTCTGATTGTCCAGCAAGAGCTATCCCAGAACCACAAGGCAAGACTTTTTGTACTTTTCATCAAGTAATAAGCTTAGCAAGTTTCCCATAGTTAATCTTTAATGCACCACTTTTTTCAGCTATGACCGCCACGACACCTGCTCGCCCCAACATACCCGGTGTCAGGCTGGACATGTCTGCATGTGAAGGTCAGTCTGTCTTCATGGTTTCCCTGTGTGTATTTTCAGTCACATCTTCCCGCATCTCACACCGGACTGCCCCGCAATGAATGCAGGTGATAGCTCTACCTCCAAGAGAACTCGTTGCGGGGATACACCTGATCCCCTGCGCAAGCGCCACTGCTCTGAAGGGGAATCTCCCGCGGATATCAACATGTCGATTGTTCGTTTTGCCCAGTTCACCTTGCGAGCAATCAGTGAACTATTCATCGATCTGCCCAATGATGGTAGTACTACAGTTTTCAGTGAGCGGCGGGAAGAGCTACCTGGCCGCAAGTATGTTCAGCACCCTGGGTTCCAAACTGATCCTTGGGGCAGGGGTGTCGTCCCGCCACCCCCTGCAATGATATATCTGAACTTATCCTTCAGTTTTTTGCATCGTCATCCGTGCAAGAATTATGGAGGTCAGTGTGCACGCAAAATACCTCCTGCTAGATCATACACGATTTTTGTTGCACCAACACCATGTACTAATTATGTTGCCTTTATCAGGAATTTCCTGGTTCATGAGATGCCGAGGTTTGCACGCGTCACTAGCGTGGCAATGAAAGAACAACTAGGGGGGAGACCCTAATTGATCACGAGTTGATGTCTGTAATCCTTCGTCGATATTCTCAGATCGACCAGCAATATGATCCAGAATGCCCATATCTTACCTGGCGTCACCCTATCGAGCCAGATTTCCCGGTAAAGATGCAAGTCTAAGACATATATCCATTTTAATTATCTCAGCTACAATGGTATGTCATGAGACCATTTTTTCATTCCGGGAAACCATGCTTGTGCATTTTGTGGCATACGCTTGTCCTAGCAGAGTACGATTTCCTCCACACCGTGTCGATCCAGAACCAGCTTGTTGCTGATTCGCTTAAGTATGATCTCACTTCAGTGGAGCTGGTATGTAATACAACCCAGCTATCATGCCTACACCCAAATGCCCTGACTCATCAAATCTGACAATCATTGTTTTCTGCTTACAGTTTTACACACCTATTCCACGGCTAGAGGGCTGGATGGCTGTTTTCTTCAACATGCTGACTAGGGTCATCTGGGTGATTGACCCACTGTACCACAACAAGTTAGCCTGCCCACCCACGGGGCAACGCGACGAGATTATAGCATGGAAGCTGCATGATGCATTGTTCACTTGTCTGAATGAATTCTACGCTGGATGGCCAACTAGCAAGGATAATTGGACTCTCAAGTTCCCTTCCATGACCGACTGCATTTTCTCCTGGTAATACAAGCTCAACCTTTTTTATACCATGCAATATTTTTACGGTCCATACTAAAGACTGATTTCTTATTCGCCCCCCGGCCCTCCCATAACCCTTCAAATGTGATGCAGTGCCGACACAGGCGGGTGTGTCCTCCATGTGGCAAGGCACTTTGGTGCTCACAAGCTGAAAATGCCACTCACCAAGGTACACACATTTCCAATCTATGTCTCCCATGTTTCGCACATTATATCTGCTAGCTTACTAGTGCAAACCATTCGCCAATGCACAGTATAATGTGTCCAAAACGAAATGGGATGCCCTGCATGAATGCCTCAAGTTCCAGGGAAACTTCTCTTCCCTCGTCCATGATGCATTCTGGAAGGTCCTAGCTCCTTCAGATTATGCATTTGACTAGTAGGGAGTTATGTTGAATGCGTTGCCGGCTTTAGTCTTGTTGCATGGTTTATCCAGTAGATTACAAAGTTATGTTCGTAGCATGGGTTCTATATGTCGGACCTGCGAGCATGTATGTAAGCATCAATTCAAATCCCCCAGCATTTGGCACCTATCATATATCTACCATGTCAGATGTGTGTACCCTGGATCTATGTTCAGTCGTATATCAATCATCGGACCAACTATCATTATTTGGCCTTGCTCGTTCGTTTGCAAATTTCAACTTCCATTTATCTGCCCTGCCATGCGAGCCTGGTTTGTTTCCAAGGGTCAACAACGACTGTGAACGTGGGCATTGTGTTCATTTAGTAGTAAAGTCATGTAATCCCACTAAATTAAAATAAATTCATTTCCAAATCAACAACAGATAAATCACACCAACCATTCGGTCTCATGTTGTGGCAATGAATAGCTGCCGAATTCGTGGCCCTAGCTGTTGTATTATGTGTACCTTGGAACCATGTTCACACACATATATCAATATATGAACCAATTTACCATTTCTAGCCGAATGAGCCTGGTTTGGTAACAAGGATTGACAATTAATTTTTGAAACAAGCCTTGTTCCCGTCCAAAGCTTTCAGGCACGTACAAAGTGAACATTAATTCATCCCCAAATCAACATTGGATGAACCCTTCCAAATATTCAGTGATATGCCATTGCAACAAACACCTCCCAAATTCGCGATACATGCAGGCAGTATATCATCCGTGGTCTCAATCAATCATTCTGTGAGGATAGGTTATTACAAAATCTATCAGCCCATCCTTCACAAGATGACACGATCTTTGCATACCAAATTTTTCAGGCGATACATGGTCTATGTCTACTGAACTCACCAACGCATGCATTTTTTAGGTAACAAACCATGCATCCACCAAATAAACCGAACAAACATCGGTCCGAACAAACATTGCTCCCAACAAACGAAAGTTCTACATATAGGGTTCTTAATTCAGCCTGATACCAAACTTAAACATGTCTATTTCATGCGCCCATAATCAGTTAGGGCTTTAATTCGAACCGCAGGGGGAACCACTACCACACCATGGGGATGGCAGCTAACATTTCCACCATGTCGCGGCGCTTCATGGACTAGTCTCGCAAACTTTTGCAGCAAACCGAAAAGTGATGGAACCACTACCACACGGGTTGAAGTACTTTGGGATGGTAGCTAATGTTCCCTGTCCAGCGTTTACTACTTGATGGAGCTGGTGAATCCAGACGTCTTGCAATCTTCTTTGTTTCCTTTCTTCAGAATGGCACCACCTCTAGCATAAAATCAGGTAGCTCTGCTTTGTTTCCCCTCATTGAAATGACCTCGTAAGCAATCATCTGCCGGAAGTAGTGTAGGCGATTCTGAAATTTGGCAGCAGTAATCTACGTCAGCATCACTAGTTGTTCATGATTCCTCTTACAACTCGTTTCAAAAATAGTGTATGGAGCATCATGAACACTGCACGTACCGGTGTGAGAGGATTGTAGACGTACAGGCCCGTGAACTCCCTGATGTAGTTCACCACATGCAGGTGGCTGTCATGGCTGCACAAATTTTAGTTGAACCAGTTCAAAATCTTATTTTAACAACATCTGCTAAGTAGTTTTGCAATTATCAGAGAAGCGCACGCACATTTCGCTGTTGGGGTGCATCCCTACATTGTAGTTCACCCTCCACCCTTGACCTGGCACATACTAGCCTGCAATGTTTTCATGGATGCATCGACGGAGTCCCTCGATGATGTGGTTTGCATTATCTTCGTGCTTCAGTTTCATGGCATCCTCTCCATTTGAGGTCTCGCACGGGTCCTTAACAAGTAGTGTCTTCTCGTCGACATCAACAACATAGAGAGACCACGAACTGTGGTATGGCACTGGCAGCATCAGTTGAAAATGATCACCGTAGTCAGCGCTCTGATTCAGGGCAAACCAAATATAATATAGTACAATATCAGGATGATTAATCGCTAACCTTCTTGGTCCACTGAAACCTATATCCAAGCGCCTCAAAGCTCATCATTGTATTCATGAATTCGAAATCTAGACTGTATGAGTTGTACATCAAGGCAAGCTGCAACCACATATTTCCAGTTAGCGGGTCATACATGTTACTGAAGAGGCACAAGCGCAAAAATCATGCCAACTACTCACCACAAAGCGCACATCAAAGACATGGCGCCACCTGATCTGCCATGAACCGTACATGAGCCCTTCCTTGTAAGTGATCATTCGGCTCAAGCAAACCCAACCAGTAACTGTTAGCCTTCCATTCGGCCCAAATTCTTTCCGAAAATCATCACCACACATCACAACTAGGTACGAGGCAAGGTGTTTGAACCATTTCCTGCAAAATGAGTTCAGCAAGTGGTAAGTACAAGTAATCCATGTCGGGATGGGTGGATGTACCTTCTTCTAATGTCTCTGCTTTCGAACTTACTTGTCGAGCTCCTGTCTCGTGCATGTCAGCATTTTGTCGAAGAAGTACACCACATTCTTTGTTGCCGGCTCTTCATCCTTCAGTCCAGCTTTCCCCGGGAATTTTTCTCCCATTTCATTCTTCACAAATGTCCTAACCATACCGACTTGCACCCTTACAGGTCCCGAGCCTCCCAGACTAGGCTCAGCGCCGTGATTGCTGGCTGCATCAGCTGAAACACCCGTCCGACAAAGATGTTATGCTTCTAGGTTGTCAACGTCAGTTTTGAATGCATAATTTTGTAACCTATACCTTGATGGATATGCTGCTCGCCCCCTGCCGATGCAGACCCCACCACGCGATTAGCTGCTACTGATGATCCGCCAGATGCAGTAATTGTATTACATGATCAGCCGGTGAGGTCACGCAAATCCATGCTGCTAGTGTCAGTCATATGATATCTTACTTGTTATTCCAGGGAACACATAGTCCCCTGTTTCTTGACGAGTGATGACTCCAACTCCATAGCCTACGCCCCTGGCTGTATCATTGGGACGCATATGTACCTCACCTATTTTTTGGAACAATCAATCATGTTAGACTTTAACTTTCAGGATGTACACTACGCTACTCACTTATAGGATCCACATTTTTATTTACCGTGTAATCCATCTGGGGGAATGCTCTGCTCTGCGGCTCCTCCTTGTTGGTCGTCTTGCGTCGCACCTGCATCACTGTCAGAGCTATCCGATGAAGATGACCCACTCCCGGAAGGTGTTTTCCGTTTCCTATTGCGACACTTCTTGCTCCCACGGTGCACACATCTTTTCTGTCGTTGCCTTGCTGGAGGCACAAACCGAATTACTGGCTGTTCCGGAGTAGAGCTCATGCACAACACACCTGGTGTTGCCATCACAAAATGTTTGCTTTTGTTACGAGAAGCACTTAACGAAACAACACAATGGTTTTACATCTATGTGGGATAGCATTATGCACCGTTGATCTCAGCCTGGAACTTGAGACAATCTAGCACCATATCAGCATTGCTTGGCGTTGCTCTCATCAGCTCATCTGGGACAAGATTTTATCATCACGCCGGCATGATTGTTGTTAGTAGTTATACGCAAAAATCATGTAACAACAAAATTGTATCACTGCTTTTCAAAAATATACCTATTTCTGCCTCGATAGTTTCCATGGCGCAGTTGCGTGCTTGCGCATCTGTAACCACATTATAAGCTCTAATTAGTCAGCAAAAGACAAAGCATTGGAAGGCTCTTTATCACAACTTCAGAAATCTAGCAAACTATACCTCCACGAATGACCAAGGTTGGGGGGTCTGGTTATTGCTCTTGTGTTTTTCTATGTATTTCCTAATGCATGCCTACTTCCCCCTAGATGATTTTTCCGGTTCTGCTACAATTTTTCTTCAGTAAATCGACCATCCTCGTATTATTTTTATTTATTATTCACCTTCTATGTGGTGCATTTCATACTTCTGGGGGTGTTAGTTGAATGCCTCTCACCTAAACAACCAATATTTGTTAGCTCTGCTATGAACACTCGTGGGCAAAAATATGATAGTGACTTTTCCTAATTTTACTTGTCGTCCCACTGCGACAGTGATATTAAGAATGCACACACCATTCATATCATTTCTAGCTTGCAAAAGAGCGACATAATTTGTTACTACGCACGATTCTTAACCACACCAGTAATGGCATCATTACCGACGCTGCCATCAACATGCTCCCCCAAACCATGTTTAGCACGCTTGGCAGATGAGCTGCTGCTGTCTTCCTCTGCATCTTCATCCGACTCGCTGTGGGCGCCAGCCGAAGAGTGCTCGCCGTCTTCAACCTCTGCAAGCTCATCCATCCCCAGAGGCTGGTCTTCTAGGTCATGTTCTCCATAGCCTTCTTCCACATCCTGCATCGCCTGCATCTCAACTTCCTCCTGCATCACGATGTGTCCGCCCTCCCAGACATCACTTGCAGGCGGCGTCTCCAGCAGGGTAATCACCAGATAAAGCAAATTCAGAGATAACTACAGATATGGACTGCTAATTGGATGCAACCCCCTCCTCCCCCAGCACTTCGTCATACCTGCTCAACGACTGCTGACACTCCAGATGATGAACTCGCCGCTACTCCTGCTCCTACGGGCTGGTTTACTGAACTATCAAATGCATCAGACACCTGACAGTAGGTTACACACTTAGAATGATCTCCCTCACGTTAAGTTGAGAGTCGGTTAAGAAGAGGCTAACCTCTGGGATTACACCAGCGCCCTTGTGAGTAGGATCAGATTTCGTAAGGCCAGACACCAAGAACGATTGCAGGTTAGGAGCCATGGCAAGAGCTGCCCTCTAATGGAAGGACTTGGTATACTAAAACAGAGGAATGGCTTACGCACTGCCCTCTGCCTCACTACTTATCTGTCTATAGCTCCTCTCTTTCCCGCACTTGGGGTTTGAAATTCGAAATGGGTCAGTAGAGCAATGTGCGCCACACCACCGAGAGGCATACACCTGTAAAAAATGCATACTGAAACATGTCCACAACAGGTGGCAAGCTTACCAAAATCTGATGAATTTCTTTTTTCCATGACCACAGAGTGTGCTCACTCTTAATTGTTGACAACTTTTTTTGCAGCCCAGGCAGAAAAGTACAACAGCCGCTTATATGGAATTTGATTATCTTCAGTATTCACAATTTCATTTTCTCTCATTTCACGTTTCCCATTCATCCAATTTCCATTTATGCGTCAGCATACTGACAAATAAATCATATATATGCACACCGAGACAATACTGATAACCGCACAAATGCATCAGCAGGTTGTACAAGAATTCACAAAAATACTTAAGATTGATTTATGCAAACCCCCTACACGATTAGATGCAGACCAGTTCAACAGTACGTGATTTTTTATATTCCACATAACTACTTTTTCACATGCATAGGAGTTGCATACACTCAGCAAGCATGAAACTTCACAAGTTCTACACACATAATTACTGAACCACACATTCAGTACTATAGATTTTTAGTCTAAGTAGTTCTTTCCAAGCGCTCACACGCCTATAACCCGTAGATCACCGACTTTGTTGCAGTTGTTTCGCCTATGACCTTCAACTCCACAATTTTTGCACCTTGCTGGTTTCCGAACAGGCTTTGGTGCATCACCCCGGTCCGGGCAAGTAGTCCTCTTATGCCCTTGCTGCCGACATATGCTACAGAACCTGGTCCACTTGCTGAGCCCCTCGTACGGTGCCTTCTCACGGCTAGTTGTCGGGCGCCCCATCTCTTTCCTTTTCTTTGGCGCCAACAAGCCACTGAGTCTATTCCCACTCTCATTTGCAGAAGTAGCATCATCATTCACATTTCCGAAGCCTGCACCTCCACTTGCCACAACTACTATCGTATGGGCAGCAAGCTCATCACCATTTGCCCTTGCATTAGCACCATCTCCATGCTGACCAATCCTGTCCTCTAGTCCGAGCCCATCCCTTATTTCCGAGAATGGTTCCATTTGGACCAGGAAATCCTTGATGAGAGTCATGAATTTGTCATATGCTTCCACGCTTGCATCGCCCATTCGAACCAACTCCATGGCATGCATATACATATTGAAATGCTTGAAGCTAAAAGGTTTGTTGTGAGCATTATCCCTCTGATATTGAGTAAGGTGAGCTGGCAGTATGTCCCGTGCGTCCCTGGTCCATCGCTTCACAATGTGTTTTTGCGGTATCTCTGTAACACAGATGAAATCCAGCACCTTCAATGTTCAGTTTTCATGTCTTAGTACACACCAGATTGCATGCATTGTACGCATATCTACAATAAGAGTTGCTTAATTTTCAGCAGTTACCATACCTTCACAACATGGCTGCAAAGCAGCCCCATGTGTGCAAATTGCCCACAATCACAGTCATATTCATCACCTCCTTCAAGAACAGCTACCTTATATGACACCCTACACCACTTCTCCCTCCTAGCAGCATCGGTATGAATGGCAAGATACAATTTTCCTTTCTCCCGCTCCTCCACTTGGTATGCGCCGCACTCATAAAGAATATGTCCAAACTGCTCGAACATAGCTCATGTGTATATCTTACCAGCATGCCTCTCTATAGCTAAGTTTGCTCTGTACAGCGGTCTACCCTGAAACATAGATGCATCAAAATCAGTGATCATGTTACTACCACACAGCAAGTTGCCATTACAAAATATGACTTACTATCCGTGTACGCTTCTCCTCGTAGTTCTCCTCGGCTTCCCTGTCAAATTGTAGTCTCATGTATTTCTTCACAAACATATGCATGGGACAACCAGGCGGTACGTAGTTCTTCAACATGTGGTTTGCACTTTCACCGCGCTGGGTGCTGCTCATCTTAGCACAAAAAACTCCTTTAAAATAAGGCTTTGCCCACTTGTGTCTTATGTCATACAACTGCCTCATGTAGTCATGTGTCTTCAAATTATATTTCTCCACCAAGCTCTTCCAAGCTTCCTCGAATTCATCGATTGTAAGCATGTGATTTACTACCTTGTGAAATTCAGCCCTAAACTCGCTCTTCTTTGAGTACAACGATCCAAGTGATTCTTTTGCCTTCTTCAGCACATGCCACTTGCACCAACGGTGTGCTGTCTGCGGCATCACATTTTTAATGGCAACCTCCATAGCCCGGCATTGATCTGCAAAACATCACACATCGCTGTTAGACAACAATGATTTCGAAACAACTACAGACATTGTTAGCACAGATAGTTCCTTTACAACTAGGCATCACACCTATTAGAATTGTCCTCGGTGCAGTCCCACCCATCATCCTAATGAATTATGTGAAAACCCACTCAAATGTCTCCACCTTTTCATCACGGACAAGAACACCGGCCAGGATGATGCTCTGGAAATGATTATTCACACCCACAAACAGACCAAATGGCATGTTGTACAGGTTTGTTCTGTATGTTGTATCAAAGGTTACGACATCTCCAAAGAGTGTGTACTGCAACCTGCTGCTCCCATTTGCCCACATAAGAGTTGCTATCCGACCATCCTCATCTGCTTGCACACGATAGATGAAGTGAGGATCTCTTGAGCCCAGCTCTGCAAACACCTCCATGGTCTTCCTCACATCATCCTCCGACTGTTCTCTATTTATTTTACCACACAAATTCTTCAGAGCTCTTTTTGTGAAAGGCACCCTTTCCATTGAACCAAAGAAGCTTCCAATTATGCCGGTGTATTAGTAGATAACTTTGGCTAGGTTAACATTGTTTTGTCGCAACTGCTCGACCAAGTCTCTGTTCTAAGCATCGATGTGCTTGTGTGAAGGCCAGTGTATTGTCTGCCCATATGTAGGAGATAGCAAATGGTTGTGCTGCTCACAGTGCTCAGCTATGTACCAACCATTGTCCTTTGTGCGAAGTAGTCTTATTAATGCCGGGCATTCACAACGGCATGATCTTGTGTTTTCCACACCCGGTTTACCCTGCATAAAACAGTAATACAATCATAGACGTGTCAGGTTACACGAACCACAGAACAACAACACATGTATGAAAGTAATCCATATAATTATAGTAATGCATATCGCACACCCGCAAACAATTTCCTGCATGCACTTTGTTCTCTCCACATTCAACCTACTCTTCCCATATCTTATTCCAAACCCCTTCTCCCACGAGTAGAGATTGTAGAAGTCATAGGCCTCCCCAAGTGTATCAAAGCTTGTGCCCAGTTCTGGCACAACCACAATGCTTCCAGGCTTGTCACCAAACCCCCGAATTGCTTTCTCAAGGGCACTGGTTCGCCCAGGGCAAGGAGCCCTGCCAGGAGCAGCAGCTCCAATTCTAACCCTGCATTTCAAGGATTATTCACATCAGCATCTTGATGGATGTTTAACTCAAAACTGCATTTTCTAGAATCTTTCCATATAAATTAAGTTCTTCCGGTTCATCACACTCTTTTTATATACAATGACTCGTCAACGCCCCAAGACTGCTATCCTTTATATTGTCCCAGTACATCTGCTGCTACAGCTATGGTGTCAGGGGTAACATACACACCAATCCTAATTGTTATCCATACGATTCCTATATCAGTCTTTCATAATCCCCAAAATATGCAACTGAAAATTATCTACATGCCTGATCACTAATATTTTCACCCTGTCTAACCAACTAACTTTTAGTCCAGCCTACATTTTCTATTTGCCCCCATGTTTATAAGTTTTTGTATACCAGTTATTTCATACCAGATTAGGTGTGCATACCATGCATCATAATTTAGTTTTTGCAAAACAGAGCATCACTACTGCGCCAGTCATATTTTCTAATTTGTAGGATGCAGATTGTGAATAGCCGGCTGGTATGAAAACACAGAGGCACCTCCCCAGGGCAAGGGAGACTAATGGTTCGCTCTTTTCTTCGTCGGATCAGCAGTTGTACGACGCAAACAGTCAGCACTATAAATAAAGGAAAAAATTAATATAATCATGAAATGCTTGTCTTCATAATATATTTGTAGTGGGAATAAATGCATCATATTTTTGTAGAGGGAATAAATGAATTATATATATTAATAGAATCAAAATGTATGAACTGATAATTTCCAAATGGTGCATAGTTGGATGTGGCTATCATCGATTTCGAGACAATTGTGCATGCGACTCACATGATTCAACTACCAGTTGACCCTCCAGCAAAGTCAGGTCATTGCCGGTGCTGTATGTGCGCAAACATTGATCACAACAAGAAATACTTGTACATGGAATTTGACAGTACTGATGAAAGCCGTGTTGAGGCACGGCAGAACACATAAGATTGTACTGCTGTAGCCTTAGGGCATGACAAATGATTTGTTATTTGCTTCGTCAGACATAGGCATCTCCTCATGGATTCGATTTTTTCCCCGCATGTCTATGCATCCTAGAGCAGAGAAGAACAGAACAGTCCCCAGTGCAAGAAATTGTACAGTCAGAGGTTACCTGCGAGTCCAGCCTGGTGTTTTCGGATCAACTTGGCCAATGGATTGCTCAGACGCTTGCGGTTCGTCATCTCACTTAGTCGCAGCTGCCCCATCCACCGCACAGATCTGCCCGTCAACGCTTATAGTGGCCATGGGGGACAGCTCGCAACTGGTTGTCATTCACCTCCTTCATCACCGCGGACCTGCAGTCCAACAAATCCATTCTGGATCAGGACCACTTACACAATGAACAATCATAATCATTGTGGAAAACTGATTGGGGGCGGGGCAAGAGTACGGGGGGTGAGGGATTTTTGCCTTACCTCCTAATTGGTTGCATCAGGAACTCCATCGACGATACTCGCCGCCGTGCACTCCTTCTTCCGCAGATCTCTGCCAGCGTCAATGGTGGACACAAGAAAGACTGGCGAGAGGTGGGAGACAGCGGCGCTGTTTGCCTCTGTAGCCATTTACTGGCCAGGCCTACGCCTACCGACGGAGATTCGCTTTCCTGAGCCACGAATCAGGTAATCAGCTGATGTCCCGAGCCACGGCTCAGGGGAAAGGCAGTCACGGCGCCATCCGCGGGCTCCGTCCCGACGCGGTGTACACGGTGACAATACGTCGTATTCCATCCCCTCGCGATTTAATGCCGCTCGACGCGCTGGCTTAGTAATTCAGCGACGCACATCCTAATGCGCTACCGACTGGTCATGATAAAGTGCTCACCTGTGCTCGCGAGCAGAACAGCCGCTTCCGTGCGAGGCCGTTCTTTTCCTCTGCTCGGTTTTTAAAAAAAGAGTCTCCGATTCTTTTTATAATACAAAGGAAAAACAATGTTTTGGAAAATATTGTAGTATTAGGGCCAATTTTTTGGCGCCTTGAAAAATAAGCTGCCTTCTTCCCAGCTTTTCTCATAAGCCGAATCTCTTATTAATTGGGGCTTATGAACTAGTTATAGAATAATTAATTTAGAAGCCTCAACAAATTTTGATAACGGCTTATCTTTTAAACTGGGGAAAGACAGCTTAGTTTTTAAGCCGTCTAAAAAAACTGGCCCTTAAAATCGCAGTTTTTAGGGGCAACCAACCAGTAAATAAAATTGTGGTAATATAGAAAATTGTAGTATTCTCTAAATACTTAGAAAAAACTTTGCTATCAAAGAGTTTTGCAGAAAATATAGTATTGAAAAACTGTAGTATTTTTGTCTACAGGTACTAGATACCACAGTTTTCACATATCAAAGTATTTTGTAGTATTGGGTGATAGTGTATGGCTGATGCATGTTTGCAACGACGTAAATTAGCTAGCTAGTTGTTTCATAGTAGTTGCAAACAAGCACGAATTTAGCTGATCAGTGGTTGCAAATTGAATGGCCATGCATAAACAGACCCAGCAGGAGCACAGCGGGGCGGCACAGAAGCGCACGGTGTCGGTCTGGCTTGGCAGCCGCGAGCGCGCCGCGGCGAGGCGTTCAGGAGCAACGCATGCACGGCAAGCTGCGGCGAGCAAGGCCGCGGCATGGTAGCGCAGCACACGTACGGTGTGGCTATGATCGCAAACAACAGCCTGCACAGTCTTAGCCAGCAGCGTGCGTGACCATGGCATGAGTAACCTGGACATGACGAGGCCAGGGGGCTGACCAGATGCACAACACGTAAGAGGTGAGGAGGAGCACAAGTGAGAGCAGGGAAGGACACTTTTTTCCTTCCATTGCCTCCTGTTGGCTTGTCCCATGGCCCCCGATCTTCAGGGTAGGAGGCTAGGAGCGAGGAAGGCGGTAACGAAGGGTCTTATTTTCTTCGTGTGCTCTGTTTTAAAAAAAGAGGTCTGAGGATTTTTAATGCAGAGAAAATACCGCAGTTTTGACAATACTACAGTTTTTTGTGGTTGCCAAACAGCTGATTTCGCACAAACACAAGCGAACTGCACGCCTACAGCCGCCGTCCTGTAGACCAGAGTAGGTATAGGGGTGCTGAAAGTGGACCACACATTTGGGGAAAATGAACACTTCTGTTCACAAGTAAGAGTACTGACCTTTTGTTCACAAATTGCTCTGTATAACTTGTACAAAAAATCTGCAATAAACCGTAAACCGAACCACAAGAACAACCAACAGCGAGCGCACTGCACTCGATTCTCTCAAATAAAAGCACAAGAAACTAAGAACCGCCGTCTATGGATGCAACGAACCCAATAGCCAAAATCTGGAGAGAGAGAGAAAACAGCAAAAAGGGGGACTGCATGCCTCGCTACTACTCTTCCACCGGGTGTCGCCGCCGCCGTCGAGGGTGGATGCGCCATGGAGGAGACCACCTCCTCTGCACCTCCGACCACCCGTTTAGGAGAGCACGCATCCAGGGCGATAATTCAGTGGGATCTGAGTTTCCGGTTGCCTGGGACGGGGCAGCCACAGGCGAGCACCCACGGGACCCGGCGAGGCGCTGAAGAGGCGTGAGAGGGTCACACCGCACCGGGAGATGCAAGGAAGGTAGGGGTGCGCCCGGGCATGGTGCCCCATTGCCCACCATCGTCGATGATCCCCGAGGCTAGGTGTTCCTCCCCTCCTAGCACTAACCCTGTGCATCGCCGATGAGGGAAAGGTGCGGTCTCATGGCATCAGGATTCCTCATCCAGATGGCAGTGGTTGAAGAGGGGAATAGAAGAAGGTGGTAGGTGACCTAGGGCGACCGGATCCGACGTGATAGGGGGTTGTTGGTGGCGTAGGGAGCCTGTGGTGGCCTGATCCAGCGCTGGTGGCCGTACGCACGAGGGGCACGCAACGGCGCGGGTCGGGTGGTGGCCTTGTGAGCGCGGGCAGGAGGGTGGGTTGGTTGGTTTTTTTCCTTTTAGTTTTTTCGCTGTGTTCGGGTCGTTTCGGGGTCTACTGTTTTTTAGGAATCGGGGTCTACTGTTAGGAGTATAAGAAAAGTGTTATAGTAGAATAAGGTTAGGTGGTGATAGTAAAATAGACCCACCCTATATAGGTGCCTACAAGATGTTAGGCAAAAGATATAAATTGATTGGAAATCTTCATCGTAACTCATCGAAAAAAGATACTTGCTAAAACATAGATCGATACATTGCAAATTTATTCATATACAACAAAAATTAATCTTCCTAGGAGCTCAAATCTTTCCATGATGGTGTCCACCAAGGCACAAGTGATATATCGTCATGGCTGCCCAAGCAGTGGAAGAGTCCAATGATCATTAACAGGTATAACAGACGCATTGTTCATCATGGCACATACCACCCATGTACTTTGGTGCCTCAAATTGTTTACAAGCACTTTGACAATTGTCATTGTCATAATCTGTCTCGCATCTACCATGATAGTAAGGATGACTTGTACATGCACTGCGGGCCAGCTTCAGCAGTACCTGATGTAAATTTCAAAGCCATCCCATTAGGACTATATAGAGAGAGTACAACTTTTCATAAAATCGCAAAACCATGGATAATTTGCTTACCAAGGCAGATGAAGAATGCTAATACCGATAGAGACAAGACTACCGCTATCTTGCAGGCCATTGTGAAAGCTTTGATTGAATAACTTAAGGTGTGGTAAGCGAAAAGGTCTGCAGCCTTCACTACTAGGGAAAACCTTATACATAGAGGTATAGCAGTAGCGCTGGTCAAAACACGACGCTATTGCTACTTATTAGTAGTGCTTGTTACAAAAGCACGCCAGAACCATTGTTGTAGAAATAGCACGTCTACGCGGAAAAGCGCTACTACTATAATTCCCTCGCCGGTGCCGGTAGGCTAGGAATAATAGTAGCGGTTCTTCCAGAAGCACACTACTGCTAAAAACTTTGTAGCAGCGCGTTTATGCTATAGAGCGCTACTGCTATGAAATAAAAAAATAAGTAGAAAAGTGAATGAAAATGAAATAAACAGAAAAAGGAGAAATGAAAAAAAGAAAATGTAAAGAAAACAAAAGAAAAATAAAAATAAAACAGAAAGGAATAGCTGTAGCGCGTTTCGGCAAAACACGCTACTGCTAGTTTGACTTAACCCCCGGCCGCGCGGGCTCAAAATTTCGCTAAGTCCTTCCCCCTCCACTCCCCCTCTCCCCCAACTGCTCCATCACCGTTGTCGCCCTGCCACCTTCGACCACACCGCCACCGCCCGAGGCCGCCCTCAACCTCACAGTCGCCGCCCGAGGCCGTCATCGACCTCACCGTCGCCTCCCTCGAGCTCACTACTGCCGCCCGAGCCCACCCAGGACCTCCGCCGCCCGAGCCAGAGCCTGCCCTCGCCGCCGACCGTAAGGCTCTGCCTCTCCTCTTCCCTGTCCTCCTCTCTCTCTACTAGGGCAATTCATATATATGTTGATGTTGTGTTGATGTTCATATGAACCCTAGGTGTTCATATGAACCCTAGATTT